CGGTGCCCGAGGAGGCCCCCGGGGGCTGCGGAGGCGCCTCTCCCAGGCCCCAGGGCACGCCGCAGCCAGGGGGTCGGCGCCAGAGCACCGCCCGAACAGCACCCACGCTGTCCCCCCGGGTCTGAGGGCACAGCCTCTGAAGGTATATTATTGCTCATAAAATTCACCCGAAATTTTCAGTCCTCCAGATATTATACGGTGGCGTAAAAGTCTGGTATCTACAAAAATAAATGGAAATAGTTCGATGGACTTAAGTATGAGGATGTTGGAGAGAAGAGGTCAGTGTGCACTGGCATATATAAATCTCTTCACCAACTGAAAAATGCAGTAAGCCAAATACAAATACGTGCATTTGAAGTGCTCCCACAAGAGTGCCTGACAGCAAAATCCACTATCATTTAAACTTTGCGTTTACCCCCAATCTGGAGTGACCCAAGTAACAAGAACACTGCTAGGTACCCAAAGAGACTTTTAAAAACGAGGTCTCTGGCCTGTTTTGAACAAACATCTTGGAACGCTCAGCTGTCCTCTCTGCCCAGGGGACTGACAGATGCCAGACACTTAAAACAGCCACTTCCACGCGACATTTTCATTTCACACCAATTATGTTATCCTAGAAATAAAACCTAATTAAACCTACAGCTTGATAAAATTCACAGGAATTTATAACGGACATCTTCCCCCCAACTCCGAGCCTGATCAGGTTCTCCTGAGGGTGGAGGGCCACTTGCTACAGTCCCTGCTCGGCAGTCCACAGAAGCTGAGGGTTTGACAATGGTTTGAGGTCAAGCAGTGTCTCTGGACAAGTCATCTGTCCTCCACCAGCACAAATGTCCCACCTCCCGGAGAGCCTCGGGGTCCTGCAGAGCTGCACAGAGCATGGCTTTCAGGCTGAGCAGCCACTCAGAGCCTCACCCCGCAAACACTGGGGGAGCCCGTGGTGGGGGGCGAGGTGCTGACAGTGTGCCTGCTTCGCCTGAGCGACAGCCAGTCCCTCAAGCATGGGGAGGGGCACAGACATAAGGAAGGCTCTTCTCTCCGCCTCTCCCCACCCCCGGAGCCAGGATGGGGAAGGGCTGCAGCAGTAGTGGTCACTACCTGCCACTTCTGAACCACTGGCTCGTGTTTACATGAGTCAATCACATGGTTAAGGAGCTCACACCCACTGGGCCCAGCACAACGTGAGAAAAGTGTGGTTTATCACAATGAGAAGAAAGGCTGCCAACAAGAGGTTATGTGAGTCACACTGAGCGCTTATGAAACCAGCACTGCTGACAGCCTACAGGGATTAATTCATTGATCCCACAATCCCACGAGGCAGGTGCTGTTATCCCCTCTTTACAAGAGAGGAAATCTGAAACACGGAGAGGGTGAGTAACCTGCCTAAGATCACACAGGCCTGAAGACAGTGACATCTAGGCTGGATTCCGTGGTTACTAAAGCCGCAGGGTGGTGGCTCTTTCTGCCACCTACGCAGCCCTCTGAGTGAATGCCTGGTGGATGGAGGGGACCCTGTGGTCAGGCCCCGCTGGTTCTCCCCACTTCCTACTCTCTCTCTGAGAGGAAGCTCGCACTCACCTCCCGTGCTTAGCTCAGCTCCTTGGAGGACTTCACAAGGCCTCTCTGACAGACCACACCGTGTTTCCACCCAACCCTGGCAAGAACCTAAGAATGTGTTCACTCTGTAGCTGGCTCTCCCTGGCCAGCCCTCTCTGCAGCACTAACTACGCTGATTTAAACACCAGTCTTCTGACTCTGTAAGGTTTCTACATCCCGGGCCACTCTGACCACAAGGCATTCTCCGCAACAGAGCCAAGTCAGGCCCAGAGTTTGGACACTGAAGTCACAGCGATATAAAGAGAAGGCAGGTAGGCAGATGTCCGCCCCTTGCCGGTGGGCCCTGGGCCACAGGAGGGAGGGAGACCTTCACAGAGTCTCCCTCCAGAATCCCCAGGAGGGTAAGGAAAACTGTGTGCAAGACTCTGCTGCTGCTTTATAGCTACTGTTGGCTTTGCAATTTCTAGAAGTAAACTAATTTAACTCAGATACTATTTGATCTCCTTTAGATGGAGCTCTGTTCTGTTTCACTGAACAGAAAATAGCTAAAATCCAAATAGTCCTTTCTCCCACAGGCCGGGGGTGGCTCCTGACGAGGTGGCCCAGTGAGCCGTGACTCCTCTGAGGCTCTGCTTTCCCACCAGAGGGCTCAGGTCAGGACGAGGCTGACCCTTTCCTCTCAGGGTCACTCTCCTGTCTGTCTCATGCCCAGAGTTCCCTGGCTCCCTGGGGCCCAGCCTCCTCCAAGCAGACACCAGACAGCTTGCCTAGTTTCCATTACAGAAGAACATCCAGGACATGCGGTTCCTAACCTCAGCTTCCAGCTCAGACTTCTGACTCTTTATTCTTAGCCACCTGGGCTGTTTTCTTCTCTCTTTTCTGTCGCTCCAGCCAAGCAACAACCTAGCATGGCAGGCTGACTGCAAGCAATTAAAAACCCAATGGTTTTCCTCCCCTTTCAAATAAGTTATATACTCACACACATACATTCATAGATAGCTGGAGGTACGTGTAGAGCATTATTCAGAATTGGGAGCATCCTTTGGCTTTTGAATCACTATAGCTCTGAGTTACGTTATCTGGCTATGAATTCTAAATAAATTTCATAATAATGACGTAAAAAGTAACCTTTCTTAAGCTTTGATTTTTAAATGGCAAGCTAACATGGCAGGAGAAAAAGGAGCTGGGGAGGTGGGAGGAAGAAGGAGCTCAGGAAAGAGGGAGGGAAGAAAGGACAGTGGTGGTGAACAGTCCTAACAAGGGCAGCAAACAGGGCGGTGGAGGAAGGACCTCAGATTTTCATTCATCCAGCCCTCACCACACCCGCAGGAAGTAGTGTTACTACTCCCATTTCCTGGAGCACAAGGCTGAGTCAGAGAGGTTAAGTGACCTCCCAAGGTCAAGCAGCCAATAAATTAACTGGCTGATCTGACTGTCAAATCCCTGAAATCCTGAGATAACATCATGGCCCAGAAATGCCGTTTGTTATTTAAAAAAGTTATTTCAAATAACTGAGGGAAAAATTGGCCTTGTTACTGGAATAAAATAATAAGGAATTAATCAATACATGTCAGACCTAGAAGAGTTTAATGAAATAACTAGACACCCTAGCCCTCCCATGAGGCGTCACCACAGTTCACGCTCTCAACCCAGGGTTAGGAAGCATTAGTCAAGCAGACAACGTTCACTATTTCAAAACGTTAACTTACTAAAATCAGTGAAGGTTTTTCTCACCTAAACTGGGCCTTAATGTTGCTGGGGCTCGCGGACCTGGTCTGGATTTCTTTCTCCTGCTTCTCCCTCAGGATCCTTTCGGCGAGCAGGAAGTAGGTGGCGGTGATGTGGTTGTACCTGTTGGTTTCCAGGGCTCTGAGGGAAACGGGGAGTGGACACAGCCTCAGACATTCCGTCAGTGGACTCACCCACCCACTGCCAAGCTAACGCTCCGAGGCCCGAGGCCCGCCGCCGGTGCCGGGGGCTCCCGGGGTGTGAGGCCCGCAGAGCACGCGGCCTGCCCGCTCCCCTGCAGCTGCCCTCGCAGGGAACAGCATGGGGTGCGACAGAGGACCCACCAGGCCCCAAAATACCCAACCAGGCTTTTTAGGGCCTTTCTGTAGTTAGTGAAAACACACAAGCACTTAGGAAAGAAACGACATGGAGATCACTTTTCACAACATGTGCATGGGCCACAGCTCCTCCGGCAGGGTGGGCCGAGAACACGACTCCAAAGTAAGGCGCCAAGGTGGGTCAACACGTGCGTCCGAGCGCAGGCGCCACCTGCAGAGGAGCTGTTCACGCAGTAAGACCGAGAGGGCTGGGAGGACAGCCCAGGTGTCCAGCTCCTGGGTCACTTGGGCGCATGCTCACTAGTGGACAGACATGTGGACCCTCCTGAACCATCTGAGTGTTCCTTCTGGGTTTATGGCTGACTTTACATGCGTTAAGTAGCTCTATGGTGCCACAGCAGCTATTTATTTGAGCTAAGAACATTAAACCAATTCAGGGAGGAAAATGAAGTCATTCCTAAAGTGTCTTTCCATCATACCAACTGTTTCAAAGGGTTAAGTAACTTCTGACTTTTCATTTGTGGAAGTGCTTCAAATTTTATACATAGGACCTATTATGGGAATGAATCATTGCTAAAACAAAGCGATGATTATATTATCCCGATTCCAGGCTGTTCCGATCCACCCTGGTAGGAACGGAGAAAGCCCACAGTGTTCAATGGCACGCCCCTCGGTCACTAGTACAAAAATAAAAACAAAACCCAAAAGCCAGGCCCTGGACCAGGAACTCTAGAGATAAATGACACAACCCTGCCAAGTGGGATCTCTATCCATGACACACTGTCCATTCCTGGAATCCTAACCCATGGCCCCCGTACAGGTGAGTGGTGACGTACTCGACAATGGCGTCTCGATCCGCTATGTCCCCGAGCACCATGCGCTGAATGATGCTGTTGTGCTCCTCCTCCGAGAGGTTCTTGTAGGACACGAGGGGGATGTTGTACTTGGTGGCTGGTGAAGGGTCCACGCCCTGAAGCCATGGATGGTTTTCAATCTCTTCTAAAGAGGCCCTTCTCTTGGGATCTCTCTGCAGCATCCGTGTGATCAGGCTAGAAAGGAAGGTTAAGTCCATTGTTAAAACAAACAAAGGTAGTTCTTTGGAAAAGACTAATAAAATAATAAAACTCAGGCAAGACTATACAAGACAAAAATAAGAGAAGTCAATAGGTGTCAATATTGGAATGAAAAGGGCAACACCACCGCTGACCTGTAGACTTTAAAAATATAGAGGATATTATAAATACTTGAGGCCAATAAATTTGAAAATTGAGATAAAATGAACGAGTTCCTTGAAAAACACAACTTAGCAAAATTGACATAGGAGAAAGTAGAAAACTGAGCAGTCCTATGATTATTAAAGGTAATTCTTCTTGGAGGGAGACAGAAGGCTTCTAAGCTATTAGAACTGTTCCATTTCTTAAGCTGGATCATAGGTCCAGAGGTGTTCATTTTATTAGACACATTTTAAACATCCTTGTGAAAAATATGTGTCAATATAAAAACAAGTTGAGGTTTTAGTTTTTGAGTAGGGGCTGTGGAGGTACTCCCTGAAGTACAAACATCTAGCATGCGTCCAATGTCTGCCCTGCTTCCTGGGGTACAGAAGAATAATAGTAAGGGCATAACCGTCACCATCAACATCCATATCAGGTGCTTCCTCTACGCTAAGGACTGAGTTACAAGCGTTATAGACATTAATTCATTTCGTCTTCATAGTGATCCTAAAAAGGTAGGTTCCATCATTCTCACATCATTAGTAAAGAGAGAGACTAGCATTTGAATCCGGAGAGTCTGAACACCGAAGTTCTTAATGCTCCACCATGGCCCAAGATGGGGCTCCACTTGGAGAAGAGACTTCTTCAAGCTCTCAGATTTTCTTCTCGCTCTTTTTTCCAATTACAGTTGACATTCAATATTATATTGGTTCCAGGTGTACAGCATAGTGATTACACACTTATATAATCACAAGGTGGTTCCCTCCGATAAGTCTAGTACCCACCTGGCACCATACATAGTTACCCTGATGGGAGAAACTCAACACTGTTACTACAGCAAAATTCTTTTAGTAGCTATAATCCTAGCTGAGCTCATTTAAAAATATCACCCATAACATCAATGAAATACTGAACTTCCAACAGTTCCTTTATTCCATTGTATTTCTCACTACACATATCATAGTACTGTACAGTACTTTCAATCTCAATCAACTTGAGTGTATTTTTAGTTGGCTTCCCATAGTCACATAAACCAAAACAGAGCTCTTTAGTCAACTGGGG